CGCTCCAGTGCATGCATCAGGTGATTGAGATGAACGGTTGCTGGCATTTCGTTCGGCCAGACTAACACGATAGCTGCGGAGATCGAGCGTGCATTCAGCTGCGACGCGAGTCCATCAGATGTGGAATACACCTTAATGCTCACTTTGTCGTCTTCCTCGAGATCCTTCTCCGCTCGAATAAACGACAGCGGTAGAGCAACAATCGTCGGATTAGCAGGCGAGTCGTCGTAATCCTTCGGAATCTGATCCAAGCGTTCGATTGCCTGTGCGTAGTACGAGTCTATATGATATCCTGGGAACGCCGGGAACAACGGCGGATGGACTATGCGCTTCCCTTGGGCGTTCCTCAGCGCTGTACTGAACGCATAAGCAGCTAGATCGATGAGCGGCAATCGCATGGGCGAGTCCCAAGATAGTGAGATGTTTCGATTCCTTGGCAAGTAGTTCTTCTTCCTTGCGTCGATCGCCCCAGAACGGATCGAGCACGATTGATGCGACGTTTGCGAGCTCGAACATGTTATTGACTGGCTTCGATCTTGCTAGATCTGAGCGCAAACTCGGTAGAGCCGTCTGTGCCTTGGTGCGGAAGATGTTGCATGTGCACGGATGGAAGAGATGCAGCGGATCTTCCTGGGGCGGTCCGACGTCGACTCTGAAACAGATCTTTTGAGAGTGGATTCTTTTACATTTCTTAGGTCTGCCCCTTTTTCTTCTTTGCTTAGCAGTTTGAACTGGTTCATCATCAACACCTGTTGGCAACCTTTTCAGGAGATCAAACTGCACTTTTAGCGGCTCAGCATTACCTGGCAATAGGGAGTGATTAAGGCACTGTTATCACTGAGTTCTATTACTCTAGAGGGGCCATTCCACTCATTTGCGAGTTTTAGATGGGTAGAGGTAAGCTTTTCCATGGGAATTCGCATATACACTCTCTCCCCTACGGCAAAAGGTCGTTCTACGACCTTTTTAGTCTCGTCGTAAGCGTTTCATGCGTTCACGCGCTCTCTGATTTTCGACGCGCGCACACTCCCTAATCACTTACAAGCCCGTAACTAATTCATTAACATAGGAATCGATGTCTACCATATATTCACTTACAGCTTGCTCCGGCACCGAATTCCACGGTATTTTACAGTCAAATCCATGCATCAAAAAGAACGGGGACAGTCGAATCATGGGCGCTAGTATTGTATGCAACCATACAATGTGGTAGAAGCTTATCCCACTCCATCGGAAGATCCACTTTCTTCCTCAGCAGTCCAATTATGCTTCTATTGAACCTTTCGGTTAGCCCGTTCTCGCGCGGATTGTATCCTTTGGTGAATATTTGCCGGATTCCCATCAACTGTGTGAGTTCTGTCATCAACTTATTATCAAACTCGCCACCTTGATCTGATAGTATACATTCTGGAATGCGGCACCCATCCGCCATCCAACGCTCAAAGAGCGTGCGAGCTACGACTTGAGCCGATTCTGGGTAATGGATATGCTCCTCGGAACTTCGTGAAATGGTCTATATGTACCGGTTGCCATGTGTTGTTAATCCCATTTCGAGTATGTCGATTCCTACCACTTCAAACGGTTTCGTTGTTATAATTGGTTTGAGTGGAGGGGTGACTTGCGGTTTTGTGTTAAATAAGACGCACTTTTTGCACTCCTCCGACCAGAGAAGCACGTCTCTCCGCATAGATTCCCAGAACACGCGCTTTTCCAAGGACTTCAGCACTTTCCGTGGCCCAAAATGCCCTGCTAGTAGCGAAGCATGTGCGTCTAAGAACGCTCTTCCGATGATTCTTCGGGACTACCTTCCGAAAACTATACAGGGGGGGCCAAAAAAAGACTTTTTTCTTCCTCGACTTTCGAGGCGCTATAAGTTACACTTTATTAAATTCTTATCGGACATTTCTACCACCATATTAAATACTATCATGATACTCCGCCACAGCCTTCTGGAGGAGCGCCATCGAGAGATTCTGCCACGCGACCGTCAGTGGGTGCGTGAGTTCAGCGAGATCGTTGATTTCTCCGCCACTGTAGACCACCCTATTGAACTCCGCCCGAACCAGGTAATTGAGGGGGTTTAGGTCAGGTTACCTGCTTAGATATTCCACCTTCTTCAGGTACTCAACGCCCTTCCATTACAAGTAGGCAAGAGTTTCTCCAACGCCCTTCGATTTCATGTGGTGGCACTCAATGCTGTAGCAGTACAAAGTTTCCAAGAAGGTACGGGCGACCACATGTGAGGAGGATATTCTTCACGAGTTGCTCGATGTAACCGCCAGCGCTCACCTTTAGTCCGGGGCCCACGAAGAAAATATCGGTCTCTCCATTCCAGGTACGTCCGGTCCCCACCATCAACTGGCGCCTTGGCGACTGAGGTGAAGATGATGTCCTAGACCGTAGCGACGTTGACGGAGCTGCTCGATGATGGAGGTCATCGAGAGTACTGCTCTCCAGGTAGCTATCCATGGGTGACTCCATACTAGAAGTTTCGCAGCTGTTCGGAGGTGACATGAATTCCGAAGGTCTTCTCCAGTCAGGTTGCGGCTGGAGATGACTTCATATTTTGGTGTACATGAAGGTGATGGGCGAGAGCCAGCTCCTGCTTATAGAGGAACATCTTGGGTATCTTCCGCCCTGGTACTCGTATCCACGTCCTCTGTCTGGGCTGCGAAAACTTTGCTGATATGTGACTCGGTCGAAATGTCTTTCCCCCCCCCCTGTAGTTATGAATGAAAGTGAGGTATCCATTGTGCATGGCGAAGTCTGCTACTTTATATTTCCGGTTTTGTTCTGGAAAAATTACGTCTTCCTCTAATTGGTTTTGCTTCAATTTTTCGATAACGCCACCATAGATGCTGTCCTTTACGTAACTCTGTAGTCCAGCTTGGCTCTTCTGTCATGGTAGCTACGATATTCGCATTGGACAGGGCTTTCTGTGGATGCTAGAAGCGAGTTATCATCCACAGGACCACGGCTGAGTGCGTCAGCTA